TAAACTAATACACTGTACTGCCTTTTTGATAGAAAWCCAGTCAAGCAGTCTAGTGGCAATTTTTAAAATTTATCCCACGGCTGTTTTCTGCACGAGTTCTCAAAAGTACTATGAGCATACAAGAACATTTTGCTCTGGTTGCTGCACTGCACGTAACTGGCAGGATCCACTTGAGGATCTGAGAGAAGAAGTTATAGAAAATCSTGAGCAATGGTACACCACACAAGTTGAATGCATGAATCAAAGACAATCTGTAGTGCCTGATTAATGTGGGATGGGATAAAGACATGGCTCTGAAAAACACATCCAAAGTACTCTCAGAGCCACCTGATCCCTCTTCCAGGTAGTTTGCATATTTCTGTAACAAAAATGTTTTATTTGGCATAGTTGACATACCTACTTTATTATTTCATAGTAAATACTATTTCATTATAAATGCCATGGAAAAATTTTACCAGGATATTTATATTGTGAAAGTGTTTAATAATCAAGTTTTGTTCAAATTGTTATGGAAATCTAAAAATCACCTAGATTTTATGATTTATTTTTCAGATCAACTGCATGAGCTATTTTTAACCCACTTAACATACTATTGATACTGCATAGCCTATTTTTTTTTTTTGATCTGAGCATCTCAGTAGTAGGTCAAGCATCTTAAAAAGGTATAATAAAACAAATATTAAACTTTATCAACTGATTTGTACTACTTCCCAGAAAAAAAACAGATTTATTCAATACAGTTTTCTTTCCATAAAGGCATTCTAAGAAATATAGCTATACTCCTATGCTTTAATACTTCAATAATTGAATTTCATATCAGTATTTTATCCAGAAATGAGGTCAGATTAATGAACCTAAAATGCTGTGTTTTCTGAATGTTGACTCAATATTATMATTCTTTTAGACTCCAGGCAGTGCCATAAAATATATGCACTAGCGTTGAATAGTTATTCAAAATGAGGATCAGCAAGAGAAAAATTTCTTAACCAGCTCTATGAAGTTGTAAGCCATAAAAATTTTCAATTCAAAAATACTACCTCTTTCCAGAAAACACCAAAAATGTTCTCTTGGCTACTCTTAGATTAATTCAAAAGGTATCAATCTATTTCATTCCAGATACCAATCAGAAATAACTATTGACCTCCACCTTTACACAGTTACGGAGTTGTTTTATCTAATAATAGATTGTATCTGCCCTGTAATAGCTACCTTATTCGTAGTACACTGTTAAATCCTGCCCGTTTACTACTTTTCTTGGCATTGCTACCCACAGGTTTCCTCTTGATTTCTTGAGTCTCCTCTCCATCATTTACACTTCATTGYTGCTTATATTTTCAGGTTATCATCTATAATCCATTTTCCAGTTTGTTTATATTGACTTTTATTTCTAAATATTTTGCTWTCTTTCCTACCAAAATGAAATAGATATTTATAAGGAGCTACCATCTAATTAGGCAACCATGTTTTTTTGGTTACTTAATAAACTGCTACAACCCACAATTCCTATTCATATTTCCTACTACCCTGTATCTTCCTCATACTGCCTCTGGAGAAATGAACTGCTCTGAATTAAGCCACTTTAGGTGCCCTGTCAGTTCTCACTAAAAGTCATTCAGGAGATAACACCTGATCCCTATCCCATATGCCAACAAAAATAAGTCCAGTAATTACTTATAATATATTGGATGCATACTGGATATATACAACAACTTTTGTTTACAAGTATTCCTTTCCACATTTTTGGAAACTATTACTAGATTCTACAATCTAGCTATTGCACTTCATTGCATATACATCCCAAATTTGGGCTCCCACAGCAAGGCAATATTTTATTGCCCTTCATTACAAATGTGTGCTCAACTAGTAACTTATCATCCTCTATGTGGTCCAATGGTATGTACTGGACTTCTACCAGAAACCTCTTCCCAAGATTTTGTAACTTATTATCTTGACTCAAATGGATTCAAGGTCCTGTGGTTCTGTGTTATCAATAACTCTAAAAGCAAGTAACACTGCATGCTATAAACAGTCAYACTTTCTTCTCTGAAGTTCCCCAGTTCTCCTGTTAATAGATGCAATTATTATTTGGCAACTCTGAAATAATTGAATTGTTGTATGTTAAAAAAGAACTATATAATGCCACAGCAGGTGTGGAATGGGTGGAAAAAATAGCTGTATTCAACTTCTGAATGAGGAGAAAATTATGCTTGCACTCTGAAAAACAGGTATGAAGTGATCAGAAAAACAAGCTTATGAAGTGATCAGAATAGAAGATGAAGACTAGAGGGTCATATAATTTTGTTGACCTATTTGAGTGACATACAGGTTACACTTGATCTCTGCAGAGGAAAACTTATTTGAGTCACTGGAACTGGAGTGAGAATCCAGGTCAGGGGACAAACAGCTACCTGGAAGAGAAGGAACAAGGCAGACCAGACATCAAAAGAAGAGCTGTACTCTTCAAGAGGGAGGAATACTGCTACTTATTACAACAAGTAATTATCACAATACCTCAGTCTTCCTACACAGATTATAACATTAGATACACAAGAGGTATTTTAACAGGCTTTACTTGATATACTGAACAATTCCACAGAGTTGGCAAGGATTTTACTTTTTTACGGTGATMTACTGCTAATAAAATCTGATTTTAGCACCTAACTAAACACAGTAATTTACTTACGAGCTTCCTGTTCATCAAYATTTGACTTACAGACACTACCTTTGTTTTCAAAAAATCTTTCTGAAGAGTAACAGTAGTCAGCAAAAATGTTAATTGAAATATGCATGCATATTCTTTTGATCCAGGCAAGAAAGAAGGTATTTAGTTATATTAGCTAAGTATTATTATTATTGCTATTATTACTATTATTATTATTATTTATTATTACTTGAAGAGGAATTTTATATTAACTTTTTTTTCACATGTAGTACAACCGTGAAAGTGCTAATGAATATTCATGGTAATTAACACTGAAACTGTCATCTTATTCAACAATGAATGAAGTTATCATAATAGCTGCTAATAGATGATTTTGCACACTACAGCCACTTTTCTGAACAGAAGATAATTTTCCAATTTTTGAAAAGCTTTTCATTATGGAAGTATGTAAAATATTGATAGTATGATCTGTTTAACTCCTTATTTCTAGAACTACTACTTTAAATTTACTCAATGAAGATATTCCAAAATTCATCGCCTGAATACAACCTGATTGGAGACTGAATTGCTTCTCACTGTCATCAATGACATAGGAGTACTTAATTACTACACAACATTAATTAAATAATAGATAATATATTAGATTAATTCAGGTTTTCATAAATTTAGCCAAAAATAGGCATGTAGCTGTGGAAAGAACACCTATTTCTTCCTCTTAGAGGAAGCATTCAGTATTAGAAGAAAGAACATTTTCTTTCATGAAAATTTAGTTTGTTCAGGGATGGGCAGGATAYTTCTGAATGAAGGGGCACAGTGATCAGTTTTACACCTCTTTTCTAACACTTCCATAAAAAGCAAACAGAAGATAGCCTTTATTTTAATCACAAATTTTAAAAAGAGAATAACTCATTTTTTAATTAACAGGCACTTTTTCCATGAAAACCAATCATTATTTCCACCTTTGATAATTTAACTCATGAATTATTTGACTTTAGGATTTTAAAGCATATTCAACATTTTTCAGTCATTTTTCTTAAGGAAATTTATATGAACTTTGCAACTGAACTGAACATGGGATGATCTGAAAACAGCTACACAGAGTTAWTTTTTTTTCTGATGAAGACAGAAASAAGRTGCAATGCACAAGTATTTAAGTTACTAAATTTAAATCTAGATTTGAATGTTATTCTTGAAGGGATAACTACATATGCCTTCTTTTTCCAGTGCATCAAAATACTGCTACACTTTACTTTGAAYGCTTCACACTTGCTCAAACATATCTGAAAGCAGCTCACTGCTACAGAAGTCCGAGAACAGTAAAGAAGTGGCCATGTTTCATAAGCCAATRAGCAACAGGCTTCTTTGAGAGCTGGTATATATGAGTTATATGCTAAATTAATAAAATCACAGAMTATTCCAAGTTGGAAGAGACCCACAAGGATCATCAAAATCCCACTGCTGGCCCTGTTCAGCAGCACTCCCAGAAGTCACACCATGTGCCCAAGAGCATTGTCCACATGTTTCTTGAATTTTGTCCAGCTGGTGCTGGGGAGAYTATTCCAGAACCTAACCCCCTCTGCATGAAGGCTGAGGAGAAAAAAMCAGAAACTTTTCCTAATATACAACCTAAACCCCCCTGACATTCTCATGCCATTCCCTCAGATGCTATATATTCAACCTAGATACATGTGGAACAATCATAGTATTTCTTAGCATTTCATAAAAATAAATATTATATTTCAAATATTAATTTATAAAACATAGATTAGTCTATTCTGTAAAACTTCACACTGATTTAGTATAATCAAGGGATATGTGTAACACCACAGAGTCAGTGCATTCTTGCATAGTGCACTATAGGAATTTGTCAAGTATTTAGGCAAAAGAAGAAAACAATACTCTACATACCGCTCTTAAATCTGCTTTCAATTTTGCAATATAGAGGCTTCCTTATTTAGCATTACTAAAACAAGAAGCCCATGAATATGGAAAATGAGGCAATTCACACTACTCAATATATATGAACTATTATATTAAATGTGTTGGGAATTTTTTGTTGGAAAGAAATCTGATACACAGCTAAGCACTTTGCTTGGGAAGAAGTATATGGCAGCCATATATAAAAACACGACCAATCAAATTTATGGAAGTCTTTGAAAGTCTGGGAGAGAGATATTGATTCTTTTTCCTCATTCAGACCTGACACCAGAACACTGCAGGAACCACATTGCTCTGGAACAGGGAATGCATCAAAGCCTTGCTTACTCTTTCCCATTTTGCATTCAATCAGAAACACCTTTACTCAGGTGAACACTCGAAAGAAAATCAACATTCAAACCTTCACAAATGTCTTGAACTCTTCTAYTTTGTCACTGGTGAGCAGCAGTTCCTTCTGTAGAGCTTCCAAAGCCTGTGCACTCTGTTTAGCCAAGGCATGTAGCTGCTGAGATGCAGTAGTTTCAAGGTCAGTCATAGCACACTCAGTCTCAATAATTTTGCTCTCTAGTTGGGTTAGCTTGAGATCCTGAAAGGCATCCACAGAGACATAGCAGGGCTAAGATTAAAGCTCATAGGAAGGTATGGTAGATTACAAACAAATGAATGAACAAACCAACCTCCCACACCGCGGTTGAAATCACAGAATGTTTCACTTACAAGATAAAAAAATGCAATTTCATGGCAAAAAGTAATTTCATTTTCAGTCATTATGCCCATGTTTCAGTATCTGAATTTCAGAGGTGTGACTGAATTACACCAGAGAAACAAGATTACTATTATTCYGCTATTTTGATCCTATCTGCATTTAAAGTTTAAGCTGATGACCTTGCAACTTTTCATCTAAAATTAAGGTATGAAAAAGTTCCAGGATGAAGCCATCAAAACTCTAAAGATACCTTTTTCTCCAACTCATATTTAGCCTTRTGATACATCTGCTCATACTGAGACTTCTCATTCATAGCTTCATTAAATCTTTGTTTTAGTGAGTCAATTGAGGTTTTTTTGTCTTCAGCCAGTGCCTTCACCTGAAATAATGAAAGGCCAAGAGCATTCAGAAAACTGAAAACTGAAAAATTGGAATCAAATCAAAACTAAACATTCCTATGTTACATAAACATATATAACTGTATAAATAACTTTATTGTATTATCTTATTCTGAAATTGCAGACTTTAATAAATCTCTGCTGCTGATCTAAGAGAGATCAGTTTGCACACAATCTTGATACATGAAGTTTTGAATTGTACTAAATAGAAAGAAAAGCTCTTCATTTGCAGAGCTGTTTTTTGATATATATTTTATAGTTACAGAAATTGCAGAAGGGAGCAAACCATAACTTCCAGTTATTTCTTTCGTCAGAGACAAACCCGCAAATTTTTAACTCAACTGAGAAAATTGTCTATATGTTAATAGTCTGTACACCTTCTTAGATAATGATTATCCAATGCAAACACTGACTGGGGGTAAAATGAAAAAAAAAAAAAAACAAAAACAATGCTCCTAGAAATCATTCAGCTTTCCTATAGTACTAATCACAACATTTTCCTGACAATATTGAGAAACAGGGAATTTCTTTGATCTTTTGCTGAAGATAATGTAAAATTTATCAAGCTGTTTTCCCACATGGAATAATCAAAATAATGTATGGAATAAGATTCTCTGTAAATGCAGTGCTTAAAACACTCGAAGTACAGCATTAAACCATATCATTCCATGCTAAATCTTTTATCTAAAACCAAAACCAAGTATTTTTCTCATGTCATAGCTTAGCTCCCTTGCTTACTTATGTTCCCACTTTCTGGCTCTGGATTTCTTAATAACATCTTATGTTTAGCATGGACAGTTATACAGTAGCTCTCTTTGGAGCTGGAAGTGCTGTATGACTTGAAGCAGAAATAGTGCTTCTGATATTCAGCAAGCACTTGCATTCTAGGCAAACWAAAGCAAATAGGCAGATAGTTCATTTCTATTTTGGGGTCATAAGGGTCATAACCTCACAGACAGCCAAGCATCATGATCTTTTTCTGGCACTGAAGGCCAAAGTGCAATACATCAGCTGGATAACWTAGAAATATTCAAAACCATACACAACTTCTCTTACCTTCAGTGAAATCATCCCAAAATTTAACAGGAGAAAATAGTTTGCTACAGAAGTCAAGCACTACCTACACAGTTAGAATTACTTCAAGCTAAGAATTGTGAATCATTCATAACACTGCAGTAGAAAATAGATTAACATATTAAAGCATTTAACTACTATAGCCAGGAGAGATGCATGGACTTCATTAGCATATGTCATGTAAAATTGCCCTTGTTTCAGGTCTACTATATTTTATGAACTTACAGTGCATAAAACTAAATCCCACTACTTACAGAATATCCTTGCAACTGTGTGTTCTGAATACTTKAATATTTAATTACACCTATAATGAAGATAAATTAAATTATGCTGAATCCATTCAAGYTATCACCATATACTGATTTCATACAAATTATAGTGGAGGGAATTACACCCTTCAATTAACTGTATGCTGTTTGCTTTAAGCAATATATTGATTTAATATGTACAGTACGTTGAAATAACTTGCGTAAATCCACCAGCTTCTGTTCTTCCTAAAACTAGGAATAGCAAGAAGGAAGTACCTTTCTCACAAGACTTTCCAATGTTTCATTTGAGGCTTTCTCATTTTCTTGATTTGCTTTTAGTCGGGATCTTAAGTCTTCCACCAAATGTCTTTTCATAGTAAGATCCCTTTCCAACTGAGAAATTCTGCAGGGGAAGAAGYTGGACTACATATCACTGTTAAAAAATTTGGTTGATATGCAACTAAAAGATATAAAAGCAGTAGACAATCTATCATTCCTCTAGCTGCAAAATACTTTAAAAAATAAAAGCTGATGCAGTTCTTGCAATTTWCTCTATACTCAAATACTAAACCCAGATTCAGTACCTTGTTAAACAGACCTTTTTCTAAATATGCAACATATTTGTGATTTACTTTTTGCTTGTCTGAACTGAAATCACAATATTCTTAAACTATTATCAAAAAAAAGGCAAAAGAAACCTACTGAGCCCAYGAAATTAAATTAATTAAATTCCTTTGATGTCTCAAACAATCATTCAAACACTATTTTGTGCAAAAATTATTTTCAAAAGGAAGTAAAATGGGGAAGTCTCCTTTTATCCAACTGAGTAATACATAGAAACAGTTGAATAAACTCTATCCCTCTGTGTCAGATGAGATAAAATGCAAAACCTAGAAACAACAACAGCATTTCTCAGAAACTTCTCCAAAAATCCCCAAAACGCTCATGTACTAAAAAGTAATCTGTGTTCAATAAGAAAATKATGTCTTATACAATGCTTCCACTATTATGATACAAATTAATATTTTAAATATAAACATAAGCAATTCCTAAATATGTCCAAATATCTGGTGTTTTTTTCAAATGAAAGCAAAACGAATGGTATGTTCAGGAATACAATACTGTTAATAGAATATCAATGCCAGATTAAAAAAACCCAGGAATACCGTGCCACTAAAAATTTCTTTGATCTATTTCACCTTTATACTCTCACTGTTTATTTGGTTATTATACGTTAAAGCTTATGAAAAAACCAGTATCTATTTTATAAAGAAAGCATGCTACCCAATAACCTATTTTAAATCTAAAATCTTATGATGGAAAAATTCAGTTTCACTTTGAAACAGAAAATAAACAATGAACACAATTTAACCATTTTAAGAGCTCTTTCTTTTTCAAAGGAACTAATTTTAGATACATAAACTGCATTGTTTCTTGAATCAAAAAAATCAGAATGGTTAGAGGAGTAAAACTCTTGGGCAGGCAAGAAATTTAGATACACWAATAGCTTTTTTATAGTTTATGTAGTAATATAACTGAAGAAGAGTATCATACCAGTTACAGTAGGTAGAATAAAAATCTCAGTCATATATTAGACAATCTTTAAATTTCAAAATGAAAAGCAAACCTTAATCAATTCAAAGAGAAACAAATACAGCTGTCCTTTTGAACCGTTTTATGAATATAAGACTAGCTATTTAATCTTATTTAAGCATCTGAACCTTGACATGTCTCTTAGCCCCTAGGCAAAGAATTACTGAATTTGAAAGACTGTTTAACAGTGCTGAGGAATTCATTTCGACTTACATCAAGGATAAAATAGCCTACTCTAGGGTTTGAGCTCCGACTTAAGGTATTCTTACTGTCATACAGATACTGTAGTTAGCTAATCACTCATAAGTTTAAAAAAAAAAAAGAAATGAAATTTTAGCATATACTGCTCCAGTTTCAAAAAAAAAACCTCTGTAACATTATGCAGCACTGCAATAAAAAGATTACWACGTTCTCTTAAATATCTAACAGTTAATATGGCAATTTTACAGCTGCCACTGGGTGGCACCAGACACAATGGATAGAAGAGTGACCATACTTGGCTCGTAGCTCCCAAATCCGTTCTTCTTTTTCCTGGACTTGTTTTTTCAGTGACTTAATGGTTGTCCATTGTTTAGTGATTTCAGTATTCGAATTCTGTATTGAAAAATATAAAAAAAAAAGTAGACTGAATGTGATCACAGTCAACAGTAAATTTTGAAAAAAATTACCTGYGTAAATTACCTGTTTAAATTAGAAATTAACTGGTACTAAAGGAGCATTCTTTCTAGAAACACTTAAGTAGAAATATACTCATTGGAAAATAAGATGAAAATCAGTACTTTTCCACTATTTAACGATATATATATAGTTAATGATCTATATATATAGTTATATATAGATGTACCCCAGGACAGTTGCAAGCACCAAGCTGGACCACATTTTCTCTTGCACAGAAAGGTCAGAAGGAAAGGTAACAGAASAGAAGTAAAACTGGATCTTCATTTGAACTACATCTTTGAATGATATTGTTCTACAGCACAAGGAATCTATATCTATACAATAAGAATGTCCACTAATTCCTTTCATCTTGAGTATTAGGAAATACAATCTACAAGAATGGTTGTTTTTACGTCTCTTGAAATTCAAAGCGCAAGATAAATCCATTTCCGTTTGGCTGTACTAACACAAATTCTACATTTAGGTAACCAGCAGGTATGATCCTGATTTTCAGGCACATATCATTCCAGTGAAGACAATTACCGTTGTCAGTCGTTGGCCATTTCTCATTTGCATATAGTATTAAGAAAAGAAGTGCCTCAATTCTTCCATGCAATTACACATATCATCTACCCCAGATTTAAATTCAGAACAAATGAACAAATACACAAAAAAAAAAAAAAGCTATGAAATTCAAGTAAGTAGCCATTTTTGCAATCTGGGCATATGCATTGAATGCCATTGCTGAAATGGCAGCTGAAACACACTGCACAGAGAGATTTCAGAACTCCAAAAGGTGTTGCCAAAAGATACATGTTAAGCATATGCACAACATCTATGTGTGCCTACATGCATACAGATTCAGCCACTGTATTACAGCTTTTTACTTACTATGTATAAACAATAAGCAAATAGATGAGACACGCTGTAAACAAAGATACTTCAGGAGAATTTCTCTGCTTGGTGCAGACTTGTAATGCCTATTAACATTAATGGGAGTATTGTACATAACTCTGTGCACCTCAAGGGGAGTATATATTCTTGTGTGCATAGTTAGATGTAAAATATTGTTCTTAATAACTTGTCTAGTCTATTTACTATTATTATAATGTGAGGTGTAACCAGAAAATTGTTAAAATTATGTGTGCTAGCAGAATATTCCTGAGTTTCCTGAGACCTCTTTGTGGAGCTTGAGCTCCATAAGTGTAAAGCACAGCATCCAGTTACATGGTTTACACACCAGGAATGAACTTGAGTACTTAGGCAGGCCTGTGCACATGTTCAGAGGCAAAGACATATGCTTTCAGCACTCTGCTTCCGAACTCACCACCCACACTTAACACATTTCTTCCTATTGGCAAAGATACAAGGAGTCATTACATACAACATAAACAAACACTGCAAAGATAGTGCTAAGGAAAAAAAATTAACTAACAAAACCAGGTACTTGGAGATTTTGAGCTGTAAGGAAAGCTTTTTACTGCTTATACATTCCACTATTTAGGAGTACAACAATGTGACTCCTTTTTAAGTCAGCTAGAGAGCCTGGAACAATAGTTGACAACCTTTACCAAATTCTTCTGCTAAAAAAATAACTTGCTTGACTTAAACTACCMGTAAATAAAGTTAAGAATTTTACAAATTCAAGTAGTTTTTGAGGCCCTTATATTCAAAACTCTCATCCAATTCAGAAACCAGTGAATTTACTCTACTATTTAGCATTTGGGGTCACAGACTATCTCCATCCTAAATATAGTTTTGCATACATGATTTATTTTTTCATTAAAAATTTAATATATCTTTAAGAAGGAATTAAAAGTCATGCTAGTATTTTTTATATCAGATTTATACATGCTTGCTAAATGTTTCCTCTGCTGCAGAAACAAAAAAAATCTTTGATTTTTCAGCAACTTATTTTGCTGCTTACATTTGGCAGACAAATAGAGTAGGCTTCTAGAATGGGTGTTACTCTTAAGCTATTTAAAAAAATAAATCCCCATTTTTTTTAATTTTTACTTGTATGGATCAATTGATTACTAGGTTTTTGGATAATAAAGATACTAATCTAAAAGGTACAACCCCAATTAACAGAAATTACCACTCACCAGCAACAGAAGAAGATTAGTCAATCGCAAATCTAAAAACAACACTCAAGAAGACAGTGTGTATGGTTTTAAGACCTCTTTCTCATAATTAAAGTAGATCAATTCATGTGTCTTTTCATGGCTACTCCCTGCTGGCCTCATCTCTTTATCAATGTGACCTACCTTCACTAATCCCTGAATTTAGATGTTATGCATCCAGTGTGCAATAGCCAAGATCTGTAATAGCATGATTACCATCAACAACCAAGAGGTTTGAGTATTACCCACATCTCGTGTGCTAGCACAGCTAATCCAGCATTTAGAGTCAGCTGTGTTGACCATGTAATACAGACTTTTCTTTTAGATGATCCTTTGGCAGACTCCTTGCTACTGTGGAGTTACTTCTAGCAGCAAGGAGCTGTACCATTTTGACCTTTTCTYTTTCCTCTACTATTTAACAGAAAAAAAAAGGGAAAAAACKACTTTAAGACATTCTCTTGCAAATATATTTCCTCCAGTGAGAAGAGAAGAAGAATTAATATATTTGAGCCAGGCCACCTGCTGAGAAAATGTTCAGAACAACATAGTCCAGTATCTACATCATTCACATGCAACAGAATTACAAGAGACTGAAAAACAAAATCATCAAGTCAGTATTTTCCTACCAGCTTATCTAAAAAAATACGAATAATAAAAAAAAGTCTCTTTGAAGACAAAAACATGAGTGACACACAACAACACTGCTGCCCCATTAGCTCAGATTCTTTGCTTCCCTTTCAAATAGCTATTGCTTTTCTCCTTCTTAAAGGAAGAAATGAATCAACTGAATTCTCATCAAACCAATTCCACAGCACCTTCCAACAAGATGCACTTAATCACTGTGTGAAAACCCAGCAAGTCTCCTCATCTGGCCTATTTGGTCAGCAGGAATTGTTTTAACTGTAACTTTTAGTTCTCCTGTTTATGACAAAATTTCTACGTACCATCAAATGCAATCTAACACCTAAGCTGCTAATCATTGGCTACGATATACAAATGATAGGTGTATGTGAGTATATGTATGTCTGCTTGACCCACTTATGAACTACTGCTCATACGAATTATCCTCAGCATTAGATAATCTGTTCTGTCACCTTTAGTTTGCACTGCAGCTGTTTCATCTCTAAATCAATGTTCTTTGAAGGAGCTGGGGTGGCTTCACTCTTGTCAGCAGTTTGAGACAGATGTTCTCTCAACTTTAATTTTCCTTGTAAATCTTCCTTCTCCTGTTGCCACTTGGCCAGGTTGGAGGTCAACACCTGTTTTACAAAGAGAATAAACAATCACAATTTCATCCTAAAAATATTTCTGCTGGATCACATGAGATGCTTCTCCAGTTCAGCATTCAAGAGAAATGAAACAGTATACATTATTTGTAATTACATTGCATAGGTTTTGGGTGAATTATCTAAAACAGGCAAAGATCAAATCTGGCAGAAAAAAGAAATCTATGACCATTAAAAACAAGAATTTTTTTTAAGGCAAAATAATTCTGTTTTGACTGAACCTACTGCTGTTTTAACCATGACAAACAAAAATTATCATACAAAACTGTAAAAGCAGTTACTGTTGAAACCTCTYTACCTAGAGCCTCTCTGGAATTCAGCAATTATTTACACAGAACATGAAGAAATACCACAGTGTTCAGACATCAGTATGAATTAAAGGTTGAATTCATCAGTATGAATTGTCAAATCTGTTATAATGGTCACCACTGTAAGCTCACTTGAATTGCTGTGTTGATAACTGCTATAAAACATACATTCTTCTCTTGGCTTTTGTTTTGGTATTTGTAGGGCTTGTAGAGGTTAAAGCAAAGTGGACCAGCTGCACTAAACATCTCCTGGCTGGCTGGTCTTTACCTATGTGCTATTTCATCCCTTTCACATATATGCACCATAGCCAGAGAACCACATATTCCATAACCTTGACTCTAGGGCTGAAGTACTTAAGTGGTAAAAGACAAGCTGGAGCAGGACAGGATAACAGATGTTAGTTGTTTATTCCACTGGGTAGGTCTTACCACCCTATACTGCAGCCAAAATGCTTCTCACTTAGCAACATAAATGCTAAGTCCAATTAGCAGATGAGCCTTGTTAGGGATTTAGTTCAAATAAATATCATGCAAACAAACTCAGTCTTGTTGCACTTGACTGAAACAAGCAAGACTTACTCAATCTTTGTACCATTATATTTCACACAACTACTTATAGAAGTAATGTTTTAAATAACTGTTTTAATTTAAATAAAATTGAATGTTCTGTAAAAAGGGGAATTGAAATAATCTGCATGCTAATTATTAACTTCCACAAAACTGTAGWCAGCCAAAAGCCTACAATGGCCTAATAGCATTCTGCTCCTTAAAAGGGTTTTTACAGTACTACCTTATTATTCCAAATAAAACACCAATACAATGGCTTAAACTAAGGACTAGTTGTACAAAATGGTATTGAATACCTCAGAGTGCAAAAAATCCCACCCTTTGTGAAGAATCCTGGTCAGAAACACGAGAAGATACGTGACAGCTTGAAATGAAATGTGTGCCTGATTATATGTCAGTGTCAAACAAAATACTCAATCAAAATTAAAAAAAAAACGCCCACACAAACACAAAAAATGAAAAATAAAAAATCCCCAAACACAACAAAATACAAACATCCTCCCGAGAAAAACAAACAAAAAAGAACACACAGAAAAAGGTGAAAGTTAAAGAGAGTATTATATTTCCAAGCAGTTCATTATTTAACTTACAGATTAGATTTCACAGTGCTTGATGTTATTAGAAAAAAAAATTTCATATATATATATATATATATATATGTTTTTATAAAAACAGACTCCTCTGACAATAATCTGAAGATCACATACATAGAGATAAAAACTACTTAGATTCCCATTTATTCCAATTATGAATCAGAAAAGAATGCTTGTAGATTTTGCATTAGCCTAAAAAAATATCATGGGTACAAAGAAAATTCATCTGGTATTTAAAGTCAAAACTCTATTTATTTCACATTCATTAAGTGCACTTATTAAAGTCAGTGGGAATTTTACATATATATCTGAGGTAAGTGCTGTTCTTAGTAAAAGGGTTAATCTTTCCATTCCCTTCTGTGTCTGCTGTCGTTATTGAACAAGAGGTAGATACTGTATTTTCTAATTGACTATTCCTTAATCTGATATATTATTCTCATAAGTAATACATTCCCAGAGTAAAGGACAAAATGAGGGCTATTTCAATAAGCAAAACCAGTGGTAGTACAGACGGACATAGTAATAGAAAAATRTGAGGATTATGTTAATTTGTCCAGTATAACCAATATTTCTACATGCAGAATTTCATGATTCAGTGTCTCTATAATAAATTATTCATAAAAAGAAAAGCAAGAAAAAAAAATCATGGCTAGATCAATATCTCTGTTCAAAATTAGAAATGCCCCCAGATCTGCCCAAGACAGCTTGTGATTCTCAGAAGTTTCTCAGGCTACTGCTGCTGACAACATGTATCGGTTCTAAAATGCCATGAATTGCACTGGCCACATTCTCAAAAATGATAGCAAATATATTCAAAAAAAAAGGTCTTCATGGGACAGTTGCTAATGACAGTTGGTTATAGAATTTAGTTAAGGAGTAGAAAAAATACTTTAAAATAAGAATCTACATATATTCAGAAACAACATAAYAAGAACTACAGGGATAAAGTGAAAGTAGCATATGATGTACAAGACCCCCAACTTGCAAAAGCACACAACTGCAATCAGAGATTTCACAGAGGTTGCTCTTAATACTTCCGTAGACACTGTAAATGTACTACAGGACTGATAATTCTACTGCTTTACTCTTCTATTTGTAACCTATTGAATGGTGAAAATCCTATATAAATCCAAATGAAATGTGAAAAACAGCCCCTCTGCCCTATCAAGATAATTATGCTTAAAAGAAATTCCTTGCATTTACTTAAAAAACAAGTTCATTATCTTGCTGTTCCTCACCAYTCCCTACATTTCAGGTCAAGTTTTTTGTTTTTTTTTCTTTTTTGGACACAACTGAAGATTTGTGTGTGTGCTACCATGCACACAAATCCTGAATGACAGAGTTAAAAGAATTTACTCCAGGGGAAGAGGTCACTAGGATGAAAAGTAGAAGAATCTTAAACATCAGCTAGACCAGATGTTGGTAAAGGCAGCCTACTGCTGTTCCTCTATGATGCAGCGGCCTTTGTCTGCTGCACCTCCTCCAGAGTGTTTTTGGCGTAACAGATGTTTATAGGTTCAATATTTTAACATCCATCTATCTTAATCTCCTTGCTCCTGGTATACCCATGACACTCTRTTCTGCTGCTCACAAAGGAGTAAGCAATGAAACCTCAGTTTCTATGTACTCAGTGTAAAACTTCCAGTGAGTCAGCAAGGCTTTTTACYGTAAACCTTCTCCTCAGAAAGACAGCTGTGTGGAAGGCCCAGTGGGTTAACACAGGAAGTTCCTGGAATGGCCTATTGCTCCTTGGCATCACAATCACCCCAGAAGGGGCTTTGAGCTCATTTTACAGAAGTCACTATTCTACTGCAACTGGTATGTATTAATACAACATTTCTGCTGGAAGCAGCTGAAACTGTACTGAAACTGGGCAATGAAATCACATAAACCCATACATTTATATGTGTAAAATATATTATATAAAAATTACAAAACAGAATGTAAATCACGCATTCTTGACACTTTTTAAGCAGTGACACAACCTTATTTTATTACTTGTTTTGTAATCCAACTACAGTTAATATACTCAGATGTGTAGAAATCCCATTTGCTATGAAGCTTCCCACCCTAAAATCCTGATGGATGAAAACATTGCTGTGCTGATTCTGTGAARCAGAAGCTAACACATTTCTTTCTCTTTTCTCTAAGAAACCTTGTTACAGTACATAATAAAATACATTTGCTATATGCATAGCTCCTATACCAAGTTAAATTTAAGAATTTAACACTGCTTCCATAAATGTTTCTTACAGAACACAATTTTCTCAGTTTCACTTGATCATGAAAAACATACAAGAGAAGCAATACTTGTTGCACACATAAAACATAGAAGACCTTTTCAAAGCATTCTGGAGGGCACAGGGTTAGGTATTTATGATTTTACTCACTCTATGTATTGTGAGTGAATAATTGTGAATTACAATTCAATATGATAAACTTATTTACAATATCCAAAACAAATTCATTGTGTCTATCCCATTAAACCTGATGGGTAATTAAAAAAAAAAAAAAAAAAAAAAAAAAAAAAAAAAAAAAAAAAAAAAAAAAAAAAAAAAAAAAAAAAAAAAAAAAAAAAGCTAAAATTAATAAAGATGGTATGTAGGAAAAGATATATACCAGACTAAAAAGCTGTACTGAATACTAAATGTGATCATATAGAGAAAAGGCAAATAACTCCAAATCCTCAATCAAAGTTCTTTTCATGCAAGTGCTGTAAGTGGTTGATCACTTAGTATTCTAGACATGAAGACAAAATATCAAACAGAAGTCTTTGGTGACTTAATATCCCATCCCTAAATGGAAACAAAAGACCCCCCAAAAGCAAGACAAACTTCTAAAATGTTGAACTTCTTTGTCATTTATTCTTCTGTATTCTTCAGTAAAATCTACTGAATAGTTTAGTTGGATTTTTTTCCAGCCAAATGCAGTTATCAGGAGCTGACTATTTCACAAAATGTCARATAAATGAAGGTAATATAGAGGACTTTTTGCCAGTGCTTTAGCTAGTTGTTAGACTTCAGTAGCCTTTAGAGACCATTAAGTACCCTTTGGCTAATTGGCCAATGGTAGATTAATCCTCTTTTTATTCCAGCAGCACTATTTTAACACCCTTTGCACTCTGTCAGTGTAGTATCTGAATGACAAAATAATATTGTGCATGAATAATAAGCAGAAAAGTTAAATTAACATTTCATGTTTCACATGCCATACCTATGTGTCAGGGAAAAGAACCCTCTTTTAAAGCCACTGACATTCAACTTTTTTAAACAATCTCATGTTGACATCTTACTGAAGTGAATCTTCCTAATTACTGCTAATTGCCTATCAAGGAAAAAAAATCTTTCCTTGAAGTGCAGTTGTCTAGTATAGATGAACACAACTCCGAAGTGCATAGTAAAGACAGGCATGACACTTGAGGTGTGCTACATTATTATGAGGTCATACTAAATATGGTTTGCAATGAACAAAGCAGCTTTTAAGGATGTTTAAGGTACAGAAAATG